TTTAGGCATCCTACGTATTTTTAGGGCTATCCATTTTCTCGGGCCGTTCAATATGCCCTTTTATTTCTGATGAATATTTTGTCAAACTAACTGGGTAATATAGAAAGTACAATTTAAATATTTAACTAAATTAATATAACAATTTAAGGATCCTACTTTTTTAAAAGCTTACCATTTTGTTGTATCCACCATTGCTCTATTATCCCTGCTGATTATTTTGTACAATGCTCAAAAAAATTTACATAGTACATTATTTTTATTATTATTATTTTTATATATGATTTTATATCTATTCTAAAAAATCGAATATTTTTTTATAATTTAAATAAATTTATATTATTTTAAGCATCCTACATATTTTTAAGGCTATCCATTTTGTTGGGCCGCACATTATGCCCTTTTATCTCTGATGAATATTTTGTCTAACTGAAAATTATACAAAGTACATTTTAAAAATTTAACTAAATTAATATAACAATTTTTAAGGATCCTACTTTTTTAAAAGCTTACCATTTTGTCGGATCCACCATTGCTCTATTATTCCTGCTGATTATTTTGTACAATGCTCAAAAAAATTTGCATAGTACATTATTTTTATTATTATTATTTTTATATATGATTTTATATCTATTCTAAAAAATCATTATATATTACAATATTTATTTTTATTCAATTAAAATTATGGTTTCTACCTTTTTAAACAATACTCCTTTTTTTTCTTTCAATAAAAAATACTAAACGTGGTTTTCTACTTTTCTATTTTTATGATTTTATATTTATTTATTCCAAAAAAATACATTTATTTAAATTATTCTATACTAATTCACAAAGATCCTATTTTTTTTTTAAGTTTGTCAATTGATCTCTCCGAATGGTATTTAATTTTATTCCTACCTTATAAAATTAACTTGGGAATTATTTTTACTTTAGAAAACTATCCCCATCTTATTTCCTCTTTATAATTGTTCAAATATTGATATATCAGCCATTAATAATGAACAAACGCAAAATAAACCTTTAGAATATCATAATAGGCTTGACAAGTCCCCCCAAAAACTTTTTTGATGATATCTCTCCAACTACGAGATATATGCATCTAATATTGACCCATCTACTGGTTTACAGTATTTTAATGTTCGTTTTATTTCAATAATAATGTTAATTTATAATTTTGCCTGATTTCTTTATTTGTCTAAGCTAACCCAACCTTAATCCCTCACATTGCAAAACATGATGAATCTATTAAAGATAAGCAAAGAAAATAATGACGAATAAACAAACGCCTTGTCCGTTCTAGAGTTACTGTTAGCCAAAATAATAAAGAACTACGCTTGAAATAAACTCCTCTGGAGGTTTATTTTGTTTTTTTTATCTTATGTTTTATATTTATGTTTATTTTATTTTCACTCAGTTCTCTAAATGATATTTCTATCACCACTACCACAATCCCTATGCCACCTCTGCCTATTTTTTAACAAATATAAGCATTCAATTCACTAGGAGTTATTATAAATAATACTTTATCCGATTCTCGGAGAAACTTTCATGATTGTTTAGAGGAATGTTCAAACTTGAATGTGCAGTACGGCCCTTTTCATCAACTTTATTAATGGAAAAATATGTAGTAGTTCTGTCGTGGCCTTTATAACAATTCTTACTATCTTTTTATGGTTATGTAAACATTATCGTTCATGATTCTATTTTAGAGGGGGCTACCAATGCTGACATTGACAGAAATATCATTTTGCGTTCTTCTTTTACCAGTATCCCAAGGCATAGGCATATGCTTCATCTTTATCAGGACGTAATGTGTTTTGTACACTGCTTTGATAATCCTTCATTACTTTCATCTACAACCCTAAATGATATGAAATTGTATATTAATTATTTCCTCTCCAGACGACCTTCCAGATTTATTTTGTCGCTTTTTCCATCAAAAATAAAAATGTCAACAAGGATTTGCTCTTAATTTTATCAAATACACAACATAATAATTATTCATCATTATTTTTAAAAAAAATTAGCCTAAATTTATATGTCAATAAAAAATATATATATATAATTTGCATATAAGTTTCATTAGTGTTTAATGGCATTTTTGTAATTTAAATAGATAGCATATATTTTTTTACTTAACATAAAAATATAGACAAATAATTTCGGAAATGCAAGACATACATTAAATTTATCTGAAAAGCAACAATAACCCTATATAATAAACAACAATTTATTTTTTAGATATAATTTTAATTAGTCATATTACCAAAAAGTATAAGAGTCGGTTATTTTTATTTTATTTATCGTGATTCTCTAATTAGTCTCAGACCTTCCCAGTTTCCCTTAATACGGAATTCACATGTTTTTTTTTACATCTTAGACTAATTGGTAAATCAGATATTTCCCGTTCATGTGATGATATTAAAAATTTAACTATCTCCGAGGCGGGAAAAAATTTTCAAAATTATAATGGGTAGGACTGGGCTTGGAACCTCAAAATTAATATTAGCTTGCACCTGACTTGGGAATATCTTTTACAAATTATTAAGGGTTGAGCTGGGCTTGATAAACTTTTTTATAATTATATGATTTTGGATGCTTCCTAATATTGCGAGCTTGGACCTGGCACGACATCTATCGTAAAAAAATGAATAAAAATCTCATTCCCCATCATTTTTGACGGGCTTTCTACTAGTAAATAATAATTTTGAGAGACAGTAATTGATTATTTTTATATTTTCAAAATAGATTTTAAATATTTATTCGAAAAACATGCCTAGTTTGTAAATTTCTTTCTATCTTGTTTTATTTTTATCCAATAATAAATCAACATCATTCCATTCATCTACAGAGGAGTATATCAACATCGATTGCAATACAAAAATATTCTCTAAAATAATAAATAATACAGATGCAACTACAGATGCAACTACAGTTGCAGAAATCGTATACATCTATCATGTAGTTCAACATTCACAGAGCTATATCATCACAATGTGGGTCGAATCCTTTTCCCATGATATTTAACGACTCCAATATAAGTGCAAACTTACTTGTGGTAGAACAAAAATGAGTAAGGCTATCACAAGTGTTTTAGTACCTGAATCATAGAGGTCAATTCTAGATGATTTGAAAGATGGTCAACCATATGCAATTCTGACAAATGCATCTAATAAGGGAAATATTTTAATATTTCCCCTGATCTTTAGCTATTTCAACAAGAATAAGAACATTTCAATAAAACTGTTAATTTTTTTTCCGCGGATAGTGAAAAATCCAAAGATGTAGCTAACCACATAATGTAAATATAGCTGATTCAGGGTCATCAATGAATTGCATGTCAGCTTTATGCGCCGATAATGCCTCTGTAAATTTTGGCAAAAACAAAGTGTATTTAGCGAATTGAGGCAGCATGTGGATGTCGAAATAATTATGATGAGATGTTTTAACGAAATTCATCAACTAAAAGAGTTAATGAATTAAAAAAGTTGGTGGAGTAATCTGACTTGGAATGGTGTGAGTTGTTGCGATATGTACTATCAGGATCAGGTGGTTATCATAATACCTGCCATCGATAGAATTTTAAAATTTTACAAACCCTTAAAAAAACTTCTTAAATAAAAATTTTAAAAGCTGTCCAAAAATTTTTTCGAGGATTAGTTTCACATATAGGAAATCTATTTCATGCAGTTAATATTCTGTTGCAATCAAAATATTATTTATTAATAAAGGTTCACAAAATTATCCAACAGCTCTGTTCATCTCTATAGTTAAAAATTGATAATAAATTTTATGGCGCTAATGCTAAAAATATTATATTAAAATGTTCAAATAATACTCTAATTAATACACATTTAAATGAAGCAAATATTATTATTAAGACAATTTTAGAATATTTACAATCAAAATTTGATTTTAATAACTCTATTTACAAATGTATAAATATTATGACCTTGGAACAGAAACCATCAATTGAGGTTTTTGTAATTTAATAAATATATTGAAAATACCGAACATTGATGTCTTGTTTGAGGGGATTGTAATTCTCTCTATTTTTTATGATTCGCCAGAATACTTAAAGTTAGATTGTCTAAAAGCAGAGGAGAAACTGGTAGAATTTTTTCGTAATAACAATAAATCCCCATGTGTTAATAGTGTTGTTTATTCAAATTTGTAAAATAATTAATTGAGTATTAATTTAAATGTTTTGTTACATATTGTGTTGTTTATTCAAATTTGTAAAATAATTTATTGAGTATTAATTTAAATGTTTTGTTACATATACCAGTATATATACCAGTCGATGAGATACATATTATAATTATTATTATTTTATTTTTTAAAGTAAAAATAAAATTTATTTAAAACAAAATACAACTTAATTATTTATTGTTTCTTTTATGGTGCCCCGGCACTTTTTTGTAAAAAAAAAGAAAATAAATGATATATATAAAATTTGCCTTAAATTTAAAAAAAAATGTAAAAAGAAAATAAAATTCGAAGGACATATACTTATACATAAACAAAAGGTAAATTGCGTGATCTCAAAATGTTAAAACTTACAATTTTACGCCAATTTATATTTTGATACGCTTATTATGCTACAAATTATAGGATATAAATTTATTACGAATTACACATTTTTCATGTAATAGTATTTTCTGTTCTATTTTGATAATTTAAATATAAAGACAAAATATTATCTGATTTTCTTTTATAACTTAAAATTAGAGATTTAGAATAATCTAGTTTTCTTTTAAAACTTAAATTTAAAGATTTATCCAATTTCCTTTGACGACTTAAAATTCAACAAGATTGAATTGTTTAATTTCCTTTGACGACTCAAAATTAAAACATAGGATTTTTTTTTTGATTTGCTTTAACGATATAAAATTTAAAGATATTGAATTATTTAATTGTTTGACGATGAACTCAATTTTTTTGTTCGATATGAAATTCATAACTTAAAACATATAGTATTTTCTTAAAGTGAAATTTTTATTATGGACAATAAACTTACTGCTATATGCGATCCTTATCTTAGATTTCCAAAACTTATTGGAGAAATGACGGACACATACCTTGATATGGTTGAGACATACTTTGAGGATTACATTGCGTCTGACGCATCTAAGGCTAGGACCTTATTAGGTAACTTATCAATTGACATTTATGAAAAAATCACATCCGTGTGTTCAAAGGCACAGTTAAAAGATTATAAAGTTATTTTTAATAAACTCAAGTTATTAATTCCGAGGGAAGATATAAATTTATGTATAAAAAATTTTAACTTAGCGGTACAACGTGGTGACGAGTCTTTTTACACATTTTTCTATAGAATACATAAATTACATAAGAAGTGCAATTTCATAGATGACAGTAGAATTAAGGATAAATTGATAACGTCTACTTTAAACGATCATATCAGAAGGAAGCTGAATAAGCATAAGGACTGGACTGTAGATGATATGATGAAATTAGGAGTTGAGTTAGATGGTAGTAATATTAAACCAGACGTTAGCGATACAAATTATGTAGACAATGATAAAAAATTGGATAAAAATAAAAAAAATTTAAATTCAAATATTGATAAAATACCATGCAAAAGTACTTTTAGTAATAATGAGAATAATTCTAATGATTATGAACGTAATAATTTTAGAGAAAATAATTTTAATTATAATGGATGTAACACTCGTAAGGAAAATTTTGATTTTAAGAAGAGGAATTATAATGATTTTAGGCCTAATGATAATGCTAGCCGAAACTATCAAAACAATAATTTTCGAGACAGTGAGGGTAACTCTAGAAATTTTCGTAATAACCAATCTTCGAATAACAATTCAAACTATTACGGAAGAAACTCCATGTGGCACAATAAAAATAATGCAAACAATTATGATATAAACAATGCCTGGCAAAACAACAACAATTCAAACTATAACGGAAGAGACTTCAGGTGGCACGATAATAGCAATTCAAACAATTATGATAGAAATAATGCCTGGCATAACAATAATAGAGATGATGGAAACAATACATGGAAAAACTATAATCTAAGAAAACAAATACAATATCATGATCAGAGCCAAAGTAATAGCAACAATTGCAATATGAATATTGAAGAGATTGTGGAAAATGAAAATGATGTTACACAAAAATGATAGTGATTTTAATATCAACAATTTAACCGAGCATAAACTCAATGACAATGCATTTATGACTTCCTTAAAAATAAACGATGTTACCGTTACAATGCAAGTCGATACTGGATCTAAATTCACAATTATACCTCATGAAATGGCTAAACAAATAGGTATTAAAGATCTTAAAAAGTCCACTCTACAACTCTCAGCTTATGATGGAAACTTAATTGAAATTATCGGCGTAACTCAAGTTAAAGTAAGCTACGATGGTATCGCCAAACACTTGCTAGCAGTGATCGTAAAGTCTAATAAAAATGCATTATTGAGACGAATGTGGATCAATGCCTTTAGAAATATTTTGAACAACTTTATAGCAAACATCGATATCAATTATGAAGATGGAATAAATAAATTAATAAACTACCAAACCAATCAACAAAGTTAACGTCAAGATACATTTGCGAAATGATGCCAAACCTAAGATAATACCACCAAGGCGTATACCTTATTCAAAAATAGATGCTGTAACTAAAGAACTTACAAGATGGATAGACGAGGGAGTCATTGAGCCGGTGACGGATGTTCGAGAAGCAAGTCCTATAACCGCTGTCTACAAAAAAAATGGGAGCGTTAGGGTTTGCGCCGATTTCAAAGACACTGTTAATCCTGCTCTAAGACTTCAGATACCCACTTCCAAGAATAAACGATCTTATAGCATAGCTCAAGGAGGGGAAGAAATTTAGCAAGATCGATTTCAAAGACGCGTTCTTACAAATCCCTATCGACATAAACTGCAGAAATATACTAACCATATTCACACACAGAGGATACTACCGGTTTACTAGATTTCCTTTTGGGTTAAAGACTTCTTCTGCAATTTTCCAACAGATTATGGATCAAATTTTCGGTGACATGAAAGATGTCATTTTTTATATTGATGACCTATTAATAACGGGAAGTAGTGACGAAGCTCATTTCAACAACATAAAAAGAGTTTTTGAAAGAATATTATCTTATGGCTTAGTGCCTAATTTTGTAAAAAGCTTATTCTTCAAAAAATGTCTGAGGTTCTTAGGACACGATATCGACGCCAATGGGATCCACGCCAACCACGACAAGATCGAGGCGATCGTTAGAATGCCGGAACCTAAATCAGCTGCGGAATTGTCAACGTTTCTGGGTATGGCGGGATACTACAGAAAATTTTTGAACAACTTTGCTGAAATAGCTGATCCTTTATACAAGATTGTCAACAAGGAAAAATGGGAGTGGAATTTAGAACACTCCAAAAGTTTTGATGATCTTAAGACGTTGATTAGCCTTCCTCCAGCTTTGACGTACTTTAATCCTGAATTACCCATCGGAATTGCGACTGATGCATCTAAAAGAGGTTTAGGAGCTGTTTTGTTTCACACCGAAAAAGATGGCAAAGAAAAGCCAATAGCTTTTGCCTCGAGAACGTTAGCAAAGTCCGAGATAAATTATACCAATATTGAGCGTGAAGCTCTGGCCATTATGTTTGCTATCAAGAGATTTCAAGAATACTTGATAGGGACTAAGTTCACTATTGTAACGGACCATAAGCCGCTAATCAATATTTTTACCAAAGGGCTCAAAGATAATAGCACCATGTCATTAAGGTTACAGAAGTGGAGTATAATTTTGGGGGGTTACGACTTTAACATCAGATATAAAGCTGGTAAATACAATGTTGTTCCCGATTGCCTCTCAAGACTACCACAAGTAATTGATGATGACGTTATTGATGATATCGCAATTATAAATGACTTTGGCGATATACCTCTTAGTTTTGACCGAATACGTGATGAAACGTCCAAAGATTTTGAATTATCTCAAGTTATTAACGATATAAGAAATAATGTGCCTATTAAAAACAAAACTTATCAAAATATTGAATATGAACTTAGTATTATTAAAAATTGTCTGTACAAAAGCAACAAAATAATAATTCCAGCAAGTCTGAGAAAGAACATATTAAAGGCACTATTATTTAAGTATATTAATATATTGCTTTATTATATATATATAGGCGGTTTTATACTTCCTTTATTAGAATATTTCATATAGTTTATAAAATAAAATATAAGACGTTAATTTGTAAAAAAAAATAAATAATAAAATAATAAAAATGTATCTAATTTTTTTCCCTTTTTGGGTTTATATAATTTTTAAAATTGTTAAAATATATATATTTATTAATAATTAGAAAAATATAATATTACGCCTTATACAATGAATCGATAAAAAAAAAATTTAATTCATTAGTAATCCTATAAAAAAAAAATATTTATTAACTATGACTCAACTATTATTTTAATAACTTCTGTTACTAAAAAAAACGAAATATATAACACGCCCCCATTATTTAAAATCAAAAGTATCCCCCTTCATCTTATAAGGCATCCAATCCTAATAGATCTTCCCATTCTGTATCCGATAAATCAACCAGGGGCCAACTGTCGACACTCTCCTCTTCCGCATTCGGACCCATTACTGGTTCCTGGAAGGGATGAACTACCGCAACCGGTGTACGGGTCCCTTGCTCCTTCTTCCCATTGCCCGACTGCGTCTCTTTCCCCTCGGGTGATAACACCCTCCGTATCGGCATTATATCCCCTTGAATCGAACCACGACTGCGACTTCGTCGTGAAGTCCCGGGCATTTCCCTTCCATTGTATCCAGTCTGATTATGCGTGGGCCCTCGGGGGCATCGGTCACGTAAATGTCCCGTGCTCCCACATAAGTAGCACGTTCTCGCCCGCCTAATGGGTCTTAGCCTAGGCATCCTGGGCTCTGGCAATTCCGGGCTCACATTTCGATGATTCAGGGTCCTTCCCCTATCCACTATTCCATTCCTGGTAGATCTGGGTTCTATCGATTCCTGCCTTGAGGGGGGTAATCTTCGGCCTTCCTCATCCACTCTTCCTTGATAGATACTGACACGAATTGTCAATTCTTCCCAGTATAGACACCGATGAACTCCGCTCATTTTAAATCCTGTAAAGGCGGGATACTTAATTTTAAATGAAAACAATTATTTTACTTATTTCCCTTTGAATATATAGGATCTTCTTTTATCGTAAGAAAGAGGGTACAAAAAAAAATTATTTCTTTTCAAAAAAATTTTATAACTTTCTTTTACTCTCGTAGTTCCTTGACAGAATTATTACATAATATTTATTATTTTTTTCCCCTGCCAAACTGTCACCCCTTATCTTTTTCTCTCCCAAAAGTTATAATTCCCTCCAAATTCTTGATTTATAGCTAGCTAGATTCATCACATTTCTAAAACCATAAAAGTCACGCAACTCCAACTTTTTATTCACAATATTTTCAATATTATTTTCCAAACAAATTGCCTGTTGTTTCTTTCTTTCTTTATTTATTATTATTCTTATTTTTTTTTGTCTTCTTCCCCCTTTATATCCAATTTATTTGATAATTTAACACGCACTAATATTTGGGCACCACCACATAGTATTAATTATTTTATTTTTTATCATAAGTTCTTTTTTTTTTCTTTGTTTTTTTTTTGATTTATGACGGTTAATAAGCCAATAACGCTAATATTTCTTTTCAAAAAAAAAATAAGCGAGAGAAATAGAAAAATTTTATCACTAATATTTTTATGCATCATATGACTGAGACATTATTACATTGCTACTTTAAGATACATATTATTACATAAATGGGAATTTCGACAATGTTAAATATATATAAATTTCCTACGATTAATTTTGTATATATTAATTTTGATAATTAAAAAAAAACATTTCCTATTATATATATCTATATTTACCCTTATGAGTACATAGGCAGGTATACTCTCCTTTAATTTCCTATAACATCACTCCTCCTCATATTCCTGATCGTAACCTTCCTGGCTCCAGCCCCCTTTTTAGTTGATCCCGATGCCGTATTCCTTCTCTTCCATCAGTAAATTTTACTCGACTTAATTTGTGTCCCATGTTTTCTACGATCTTCCCAGATTCCCACCTTCTTGTACCTCCATATATACTTGCCCACACGGTTTGTCCCAAGACAAATTTCGGTTTCTCCACTATCTCCCTCTCCATCTTTTTAGGTGGTTTCGGATTTAATAAGTATAATAATATCCGGGTTCGCCGCCCTAAAAATTTCTCAGCTGGAGACGGCTCCTCTCCCTTTCTACTATTATTGTAATATGCCACCGCTATCCAAATTTCCCCACCCCCATACTTTGATTTTCTTAACCAGTTCTTAACAATCGACACCATCCTCTCCGCCTGACCATTTGAACTGGGATGATAAGGCGGCGCCAAAATATGTCTTACCCCGGTTTCTATACAAAACCTCTTGAACTGTTCACTGATGAAAGCCGGACCTCCGTCCGATACTATCGTTTGAGCTACTCCAAACCTGGCCCATAGATTTTTCAATGTTTTCACTACCACCTGCGTCGTTAGCCCCCTTACTTCCTCGTACTCCACCCACTTTGAGTAAGTATCTACCACGATTATATAAATCTTATTTTTAAAATCAAAAAAATCAACGTGTATCCTCTCCCATGGCTGAGTCGCCTTTGGCCAAACACTCTTCCTGTCCTTATGGGGCATTTTGGCCCATGTATTGCACATCAAACAACCTCGGCAAATATTTTCAATTTCCTTATTCATGCCAGGCCACCACACGTATTCACGCCCCCATTGTTTCATTCGTTCAGTACCTTGATGTCCCGCATGTATCATGGATAACACTGCGCCTCTCAATTTCATTGGTATTACTCCTCGGTTTCCTCGCATCAGGCATTCATCCACTATAGCCAGCTCTTTTTCTATGCTTCTGAAATATTTATCTCCCTCTCTCCAAGGTCTCTTCCCCATAACACTCCTTTTAATTCTCATCAGTTCGCGATCTTTCAAAGTGACCTTCTTTAGTTCTTCCCACGTCACGGGACCACCTCTAGATATCCCTGCTATCGCTTGAATCAGTCCTTTTTCCTTTCTTTCCTCCACTTC